GTCGCTTGAAGAACATCTGAAAAACTGAAGTGACAGAAAATTCAGCTGATGTAGTGAGCTGCCACATTCAACAAGCAGATTGTACTGGACCCATCAATATCACACTTCACTCACGGACCTTTCCAAGACGTTGGTTAACATATCAAACTAATTAGGTTGTTCTTTGAGTTGATGAAACTCGGTTTGCAGCTATAATCCTTCAGTGAACCAGCTGGTAAATAAAGCCGATAGACAAATGATGTAGCTGGTCCAAATATTTGTAACACAGATGACAAAGGCTGATATCTATTCTACATAAATAGCTTTTACAAACTAACCAAGGGAAAAACCCAAAGGCTAATAACAAACCAGGCAAAAGATGAGGAGTGCACAAAACAGCAAAAAAAAATGGCCAACATAATGCCCAAAAAGATGTTCATATTCCCTCGTGGCCACAGAAATTGGTAACGATAGGGTATAACTTTATACCCAGTCAGACACTTGAAAGAGACATCGTAACTGTTAGAAGGGACCATGTAGAGAGAGGCCGCTCTCATTGGTGGCGGGAAATATGAATTACAGCCTTTTTAGAAAGCGATATGGCAGCATCTAGTAAAATTAAAAATACATATACCCTTCTATCCAGCCATCCCACTCCTGGCAATCTCTCTTGTGGAAATCAGAGCACCCACACACAAGGACACATGTACAAGCACATTAACTGCTACAGTTTTTAGAAGTTTATAGCAAAGAAAGAAAAGATGACCCCTTAATTAGGGAGTGGTCAAATAAACAATGCTACGGCCACAGCGTGGACTATTACACAGCCTTTAAAAATGAATTAGTTCTCTACTAGATGCCTTGAAAGGATTTCCAGAAGGTATTGTTGAATGAGAAATCAAGATGCAGAGAAAACTACAGAATATTCTATTTCTGTAAAAGATGACGAGGGGCACAGCACAGTAGACACCAAGTTGTTCAGCAAGGAATTGTTCTGTCTCATGTTAGTTTCCTCTCCCCTGCTAGATTTAAAAATCCCAGGTTTCTTGAGGGCTGGGTCCATGTCTAATACTTCTTTTAAAACCCCTCCCTGTCCCCCAGGGCCTTTCAGGCCTCACATATATCATTGATTTACCACACTGATTATTCAGAAAGAAAGGATCTTGTGCTTCCCATGAGCCAATGTCTCAAGTAGCTGACCCACTGCTCCCTGCAGACCCCGGGGCTTCCTGCAGTGTAGCCCCCTGAGGAAGAGGGGCTGCCCTGGTCTTGCCTGCCTCAGGCCCCAAGGACAGACAACCACCAGTTTCCTTGACATTCAGATCCCAGAGATGCACTAGGGGGCTGCCTGCAAGCTCATTTTTCCCAACATTATTTTCCTAATACTTATCAAAAGCATGGCATGATGGATTCAGATGAACCTGGGTTTAAATACATGCTCTGAAACTGAATCAAAAATACTTACCTGGAAGTGTTTTGTATTAAATAATTAAATTACATATATATAGTATCTAAATAAATTATGGTATATTTCATACAATGAAATCCTACACAGCAGCTAAAAGGAACTAGTTCTACATGCAACATAGGTAAATCTCAAAATGAGTGAGTGAGAAACACAGCTTCAAAGGCTACATTATTATACTGCTTATGTAAATATTTTGAACACACAACACAACACTATACATTATTTATGGATACACAGATATGTAGCAAAAGTTAAAAACACTGATGAGAAGAATGCATAGCGCCGGGGTAGAGTTATCTCAAAGAAGTCAGGGAAGGGACTGAGATGTGAGGGCGGGCAGGGAGAGTGACTTACCAATATATTTGTAAGGTTTCATTTCTTTAAGAAAAGGAAAGAATTTCAGACATACATATAAAATGTTAACATTTTAAACCTATATGGTACATTGGGGTGTATTATGATTTTCAATAATTTTGGTATTTTTAAAATATTAGTTTTTTTAAGTAACTATAAAAATAAATGATATACATTACTTTTATGGGGCTATTGGTTTTCTTAGAGAAACCTATTTTGGTGTTCTAAATACTAATTAGTAGATATAGATAAAGGAACCAATAAGCACCTAGTATGTGCCAGACACAGGCCTTTCAACATGAGTCATCTCATTTAATCCCAGCAACTCAGGCTGGTGAAGATAATGATAACACATCCTTACACTATAACACCATTGTTGAGCAACTCATTTCTTCAGAGCCCTCTAAAACCATTCAAAGACCAGGGTTGTCTTCAATAGAAGCAGAAGTCAAGTATTATTTTTATTCCGAAGATTGTCTTCAGTATAAGTAGAAGTCAAGTATTATTTTTATTCCAAACATATCTGGCCTAGAATCCCACTAGAAATCAAGATAGGCAAGAAATTCTAAATTAATGCCAAATTTCAAAAGGGACAAACCAAATGGTTCACCATGAATTTATGAGGAGTAAAAAGATAATACTCCTAGAGATGCAAGAGTTTCTCATGCCTTGTTCTTTACTAATCATTGATACAGACAAATAATAAGAGGGATTTCCATCCATGAACCTGACACGGGCCACAGATTGTTCACTGCCACCAGACCTGGCAACGTGCCCACTTTCCGCTGCAGGCTCAGGACAGAGTCAGAACTCTCCCTCCGTTCATCACCCCTCCAGACCAGGTACGCTGGACAAGGTGTGTGTTTGGAAAGTTGACTTACTGTTTCTCACTCTTTTTTTAGGGGTGATCCAAATGTCACCGCCCCGTGGCCTCTCTGAGGTCCAGCACTGAGTGTGAGAGAAGCCTTGGGAACACATGACCGTGGCAGCAGCAGACTGGCTGTTACTGAGACACCACCTGGCTTACCCAGGACACTGAAGATTGGTGCACTGACCAGCGGTGACATCCTACATGTCTTTACTTGGAAACAAAACTTATCAAGATGCAAATCTCCATTTAGGTAGGAGCGGCTTTTGGCAGAAAGCTGTTAACGCCAGACAGGACCCAGATGGCCAGGACGTAAATGAATGTCCTCATCAGGTAAGGGCTGGTGATTTTTTAGGTGGCCAAAAAATAAATAGCGGATGAGACCAAATTTTGTTTTGGTTTTTGGCCAACCGAAAGTCATTAGACAGGTGTGGTTTTTTGCGGAAGATTGGCCCTGAGCTAAGATCTGTTGCCAATCTTCCTCCTTTTTTCTTCCCAAAGCCCCAGTAGATAGTTGTATGTCATAGTTGTGGATCCTTCTAGTTGCTCTGTATGGGACGCCACCTCGGCATGGCTTGATGAGCGCTGAGTAGGTCCACGCCCAGGATCCGAACCGGCAAACCCCGGGCCGCCAAAGCAGAGCATGTGAACCCAACCACTACACCACCGGGCCGGCCCCTTGACAAGTGTGTTTTAATCCTTGCAAGACTGTACCCATATAGTTTGTGTTTTCTCTTTGATAAGAATTCTAGTATTTTTGTCATGACCTGCTACTATACATATTTTAGGATGTTGGTTTTAGGATCCTAAAATACGTATCTGAACAGGTCACGAGGCAAAGTGCAAACATCAGTACGTCAAGGGAGCAGAGGCACAGTCAGCACTGAGGCTCGGTGAGAGCCGACAGAAACGGCAAGTCACAGGCCCAGCTGCTGGGAGGACAGCAACAGCAGAGGCAAAACTTGTACAGCACTTACTCTGCACCAGGCACTGCTGTCGACACCGTACGTGTATTTACTCATTTAACCTTCACCGCAACTCTATATGCTATAAGGATTTTTATTATCTCCACTATAAAAACATCTGAGACACAGAGAGGTTAAGTACCCTGCCCACGGTCACACAGCAGTAACTGGCAAAACCAGGATTAACACACAGGCAGTTTGGCTAAGGAGTCCCTGCTTTTAACCTTGTACCATACTGCCTCTTAGGAGTAGAGACATAAGATGTAAACCTGGGGCGAAAAATCTATTTATTAGATTTCCTCAAAGCATTCATTTTAAGTTTAACCTGTGAACCAGCTTGAATCTCAAGGAAATTTAAAAATGAGCAAGAAAAAACCTGACCCGAAAAAGTGAGACAATGAAAGCCAGGTAACTATTTTAATGAAGTGCAGGGATGTTGTAAGCAGGAGGAAGACGTGAGCACAACTCCCTCACAGCCAGGGAGGCTGCTCGTCTTCAGGAACGCAGCCCATGAGAAGGAAGATGGTCTAAGAAGACCGCAGCAACTGTAAGTGAAGGCCCAGGAGGTAGAGAGGTTTGGCTGATGGTCCCCCTGACACTGAGTGTGGGTAGGAAGTCATTCAGGTGCCTCTCCGCGGTTCAGCAGGGGATGTGGGGGAGGTGGGGGTGGGGGGCGGACAGTAACAGGTGAGGGAGAGGTTACAGAATGTGGGCAAAACAATTAGTGAGGTGACTCACAGGAAAATCCCAGGGCAGGGGACATACATCATGTTGGGAAAGTACACTAAATTGAGCTTACTACCAAGACGTGAACAAGTTCCTCTATTTTTTAGTTTTATCATACAAGTTTTACAGTAAAGCTAGAATTGCAGAGGTGGGTGGTCGGGGAGTGTATCTAGGACACAGCTCTGACTCACTCCGCCCCCGGATTAACCTCCTGGCAGCATGACAAGTAACACATCTTTCCTAAGGCGACCAAAATCAGTATTTTGAAAAACTCAAAAGCTCACCTTTTTGCTATTTATTTATTTATTTAACCAAGATGTTTATATCCGCACTTGTACTTATATCAGTAGAAACACTATTTGGGGAATTGTTTTCATAAGTTTTATACAAGTTTTATAA